CGACAGAGTGTATGTAAGTGGTGCAAGATTTCCTCCATCCACAGTATAAAGCGCAATGGGACATTGGGGGACACTTGCAAACCCAAGAAAATTCTTGCTTAAGACAATACCATGTGGTTGCAAATTAGGCAAGAGACTCGACTCCTCACATGCTAAGGCTTGCTCAACTCAATGCCGATGTCGCCAAAGAGAATGTGCGCAACAAAGCAGCCGCAGAATTTGGCAAAACACCGACCGATGTCTTCAAGGAGGAGGGGCTTGCCGGTTTGGTTGTTTGTTTGTTTGTGTGCGTGTATTTGTCTGTCTATCTGTCTGTCTGTCTGTCCGTCCGTCCGTCCGTCTGTCTGTCTGTCTGTCTGTCTGTCGTCTGTGTGTCTCTCTCTGTCTCTCTCTCTCTCTCTCTCTCGCTCTGTCTGTCTGTCTCTATCTGTCTCTCTGTCTGTCTCTGTTTGTCTCTGTCTCCCCTTTCTGTCTGCCTGCCTGTCTGTCTGACTGTTTGTCTGCCTGTCTCTGTGAGCTTGTCGTGTGTCTCCATGTCCGTCCGTCAGTGCATGTGCGTGTGTGTGCGCGCACGCGGGTTGTGTTTCTGTGTGTCTGCGTGTGTTTGTGCCTCCGTTCGTCCATATGTTATTGTGCATCCGTGCGTCTATTTGCGCGTCCGTCCGTGTGTCCGGTTGCGTCTCTGTCTGCATGTCCGTCTGTGTCCGTCCGTGTCTCTGTGTCTCCCTGTAATCAGACATCTGTCTCTCTTTGTGTTTCTCCAGATCTAGGTGTTTCTATTTGTGTGTCTCTCTTTGTGTCCATCTCTGTGTGTGTGGGTGGGGGTGTGAGTGGGTGGGTGGGTGGGTGGGTACATGTCCAGCGAGTCTGTGGTGTCTCGCAGGAGGGATTTCTAGCAAAGAGTCTCATCTGCTTGGCTCAAGTCTTTCTAAGTTTATTTATTGTTAAAGTCTAAGTTGAACCAATCAGCTTTCCTTGAGCCTCAGAATTGCAACTTGAGGCTTGCGGGTCATCCCATGTTCGAGCGCATAACCATGACCGTCATATTTCTCAACGCAATCTGGATCGGCGTCGACATTGAACTCAATCATGCAGACGTCCTTGCCGAAGCCGACCCTCTGTTCATCATAGCTGAGAACTTATTCTGCTTGTTCTTCTCCACTGAGCTGACCATCCGGTTCTTGCTATACACCCGAAAGATATACGCACTCAGAGATTTGTGGTTCCTGTTCGACTTGTTTCTCGTTGTATTGATGATTATTGAAACTTGGTTCATGCCATTGGTGCACGTCTTCTCTACGGACCCAGCCGGTGCATCGACTGGGGGACTTTCCGTTCTTCGAGTAGCAAGAATAATGCGAGTGCTTCGAACAGCACGAATGGCCCGATTGGTGCGTTTTATGCCCGAGCTGATGATTCTCGTGAAGGGCATGATGGTGGCATTCCGGTCTGTGCAGGGCCCTCAGCATTGCGATTACATCCAGTCTTTTCCACCAAACCACAGCAGTTGGTCGTTTAACGATAACACTTTTCGGAACAGTGCATAGAAGCTTGACTTGCAGGTTCTTCACCTTGCTCCTGCTTCTGCTGGTCACTTACGTGTTCTCGGTGGCCTTCATGCAGTTCAGCCGGGGCATCGTGAACTTGGAAACGACTCTCTTCAGGACGATGGGCATCTTGGATATATGGCACTGCCTTTGAGTAAACTCTGGAAGTGATTCTCGTCTCACTTCGCAGCAGATGCAGGTACAACTGTGGAAACCCTCATCCTGGGATGTGTCCTGACCGATCAAGCTGGGCTGATTCGAGAGGTGGGCAAGGACACCCAGCTCAGTTGGCACGGTACCAGAGACAGGTCCACTGATGTGGTATACTGTATACCATAAGAAATTGTCGTCGTCCGTCAACCCGTGTGCACAACGTGCAGTGTCAACCCGTGTGCGCAACGTGCAGTGGATCTTCGAGAACTCCAGGCAAACCTGGGATAAAAGCACGGCTGCAGGTTTCATGTTCCTGGCTGTGCATGTGGAATTGCATGGGTTGCTTTGGCACGTTATGCGTTGTGTTTTTAATGGAGCGTTGGTTATGGTTGTTGGATATTTGAATGGAGGTGCATTTTTTGGGGGAATTATTTTTCTTTTTTTTGGGAATTCTTTTTTTTTTTAGGGTTTGGGGCTTAGTTCTGTATTTTACCAGGAAATGCTCCATTTTCTTTTTTTTTTTAAGAGGAAAACCTGCAATTTGTCTATTTTTCGCAAACTTTCT